GTCATTTGCAATCGATACTTTTTAGTAGACAGAAAATCAGTTTTTTACCAGTGGAGTAACTGAGAATACTAAGTATACTCCAGGGGAGTCTCATGCTTGGGAGTATTTGGTCAACAAACTCGTGTGTGTGTGTGTGTGTGTGTGTGTGTGTGTGTGTGTGTGTGTGTGTGTGTGTGTGAGAGAGAGAGAGAGAGAGAGAGAGAAGGGAGTGATGTGTTATTGTTATGATTTAATATTTTTATCTATTTGGGTTTTGTTTTGTTTTCTTGTGGTTTTTGTTTGTTTTGCTTTGCTTTTGTTTTCCGAGGTGGAGTTTCTCTGTGTAGCTTTGGAGCCTGTCCTGGAACTTGTTCTGTAGACTAGGCTGGCCTCAAACTCATAGAAATCCACCTGCCTCTGCCTTCCGAGTGCTAGGACAAGTGTGCCACCAATGCCCATTGGTTTTTGTTTTGTTTTGATGCAAGAAAAAGAACATGAATTTGGTAGGATAGGGAAGTGGAAAAAATCTGAGAGGACTTAGGGGAGAAGAAAATATGATCAAAATATATTGTATGAAAATAAATCAATGGAGTAAAACAAAGAGATCCTAAAGACTTAACCAGAAAACTCTTAAAACTGACACGTTCAGCTAAGTGGAAGGATGTAAAATTAACACTCAAATATGTAAAGCCTTCCTGTGTGCTAATGACAAATATACCTGAGAAAGGAATCAGGGAAACAACTGAGCTCAAAACTCTACAAAAAAAAAAAAATAAAATATCTCAGAACAACCTTAATCAAGATAGTGAATGATCTCTATAATGGAAACTTTAAGACACTCAAGAGAGAAATTGAACATGACACTAGAATATGGAGATACCTCCCTGCTCTTGGATTGGAGATTCAATATTGTGAAAATGACCATCTTACCAGAATCAGTGTGCAGAGTCAACTCAATCTCCATTGGAATATCGGCATCATTGTCCACAGATATTATGGAAAACCATAAAACCCCTTTAATAGCCAAAGCAACCCTGAACAAAAGGAGCAAATGTTGACGGTATCCCAAAGTGACTTTCAAGTTATACCATGGAATCACAGAAACTACCAACAGCGTGGCACTGGCACACACTTAGGCATGCAGATCAAAGAACAGGGCAGAAAACTCAGACATAAACATACTGCTACAGCCACCTGTTTTCGTTTTTAACAAAGATGTCAAAAATACTCATTGGAGAAAGGAAAACAAACACAAAAACCAGCAAATGTAGAAGAATAAAACTCTATCTTTACTGCTCACAAAAATCAACTCCGAATGGAGCAAAGACCTTAATGAAGAACTTGAAACTTAGAAAATTCTAGAGGAATAAGTAGGAAAAAACACTTCATACTTCAGGCACAAGTGAGGAGTTTTAGAAATACGGCCAAATATTGACAAATGGGTCCTTAAAAGGCGTTTTGTACAGTTAATTGAGTGAAGAGGAAGCATCTAGAATAGGAGAAAAATCCGTGCCAGCTTTATGCCTGATAAAATTAATATCTAGAATATATAAACTAAAAGCAAATTAAAAACTTGGTGACAGTGAGATGGATCAGCAGGTAAAGGCACTTGCTACAAAGTCTAATGACTGGAGTCCAATCCCTGGGTCACATATGGAAGAAGGAAAAGACCCAACTCACACAGGTTGTCCCCTAATCTCCTTAGAAGAAGTGTGGATCAAGAGAGAGAATGCACACACACAGAGTTAAATGAACAGACTATCTTTAAAAGCTCAGGAGCTGAACAGATCCTTCAAAAGAGGGACCACTCTGGGTCCAGTCATCAACAGCCTCCCTTCCATATTGAGGTAGCTTCAACCAACCAAGGAGCATCCAAGGAGGAGTACTGAAAAATTGTCAGCCCTGAACTTGCACAGACTTTTTCCCCATCCTTAGTCTATGAACAATAAAGCTGGACAGATAGCTGTTTATATGAATTGGCATTATATTAGGAATTATAACGTATAGATGTCTTTGTTAAAGCAAGGGAGACAGTTTACTTCCTCTGGGTCAGAACATTCTCAGACTGGTACAAGTCTCAGATTCTTTGAGTAGCCCTGCTTTAAGGATTTGAAATACAAGTGACTTTTTAAAATGCCCTCCTGCCAGGTGTATGGCATATACTTTAAACCCAGCTCTCAGGAGGCAGAGGCAGATGGATCTGGATCTCCCTGAGTTCAAAGTTAGCCTGGTCTGCATAGTGAGTTCCAAGCCAGCTACCCTGTCCCCCGATGCTTACCCCTGAAAAAAAAAATCACAAAAACATTTTTTGTCCCTACTTTTCAGATCCCCTCAACATATATCTTAAATGGAACATCTTGAAAAGGCACTTATTTTTTTAACAATGTTTTTTTTTTTCCTTTCTTAGACAAGGTATCGTGTAGCCCAGTCCAGTTTTGAACTCTCTGCGGATCTGAGGATGATCTTGAATGTCTGACTCCCCTGCCTTTTCACCCTAGGTGCTGAGATTGTAGGTGAGTATCACCACACACACACACCTGGTTAAGTGTTGCTGGGAACAAAATCCAGGGCTTGGGCTGTGAGCATGGCTCATCAGCTAAAGACACTTGCCACCAAATCTAATAACCTGAGTTCAATCTCTGGGACCTACATGGTGGAAGGAGAAAACCAACTCCAGCAAATTGTCTTCTGAACACATGTATGCAATGTCATGCCTTTAACCAGGGAAGACCCCCCCACACACACACACACATACATGTTCATTCCTACAATAAATTTTTAAAAAATGTAGCAAACCAGGGTTTATGCATGCTAGGCAGGCACTCTACCAAGTGAGCTATACCCCTACCCAAGGGGGAAAAGAACCATGTTTGGGGGCACCAATTGTGTGCAAGATTCTGGCAGGTGCTACCATGACTAAGGGATCATCTGTGTCCCGTTTGATTCACAGCATGTCCTAGAGAAGTGCTTAAGTCTCTAACATCAAAATATTTTAGAATTCAAGTGCCATCTTTGTTTCTAAGAATTTCACAAATTTATACGCACCATACTCTCTAACTAGCTCTGAATTGAAGTATCCCATTTCATAACCCTCACAGTCTCCAACAGCACACCAGGAAGTGAGTCAGTCTATAAAAAGCTCAAGTGGCAGACAATTACTGAGCCAAGATCATCCCAAATCCCCCGTTAAAGGACTTGAATGCTGTGATGGGCTCTGTCCCAAGTCTTGCTAAGTGATAAATATTCTCTTCATCCTCATCCTGCTTCCTCACGCCCAATCTCTCAAGGCTTACAGCAGAAACACCTGCCAGGCACGGCAGTAGACATCATTTCATTCCAGTACTAGGGAGGCAGAGGCAGGGAGTTGGGGCATTTGAGGCCGTGCAGGAATACATACTGAGACACTGTCTCAGAAAACCAAGGCCTGGATATGCAGCTCAACGCATTCCCTCCCTAGCAACCCCTGAAAAAAACAACTCTGCCTTCTGCTCCTCTGACTTTTGCTGGACAAGATCTGTCACATTCGATAGCCCCCAAGGAGAATTTTCTCAAGTAATTGACAAACCCTCAGTGGGGCCTCTCTGTCCCAGAGTCCCAAAAGGAAAGGAGTAGGGGCCGACAAAACCTCCATTTGCAAACCCATGTTGGGTACTGTGCAGGTACAAAGGTGAACCAAACAGGTTCCTGGCCTTCAAGAATTTACAATAGTCAAATCAGACTAGCCGTCAGCCTTGGGGAAACACAAAGTAGAATGAGCCAAGTGTTGTAGTGTTGGCAGCTGGAGAAAGCCCTGTGGGAGAACAGATGCAGGGGAGATTAGCAGGGGATGCAGCTTTGGGGGCCACCCCTTGGAAGATGGGGGAAACAGATAACTCAGAGTACTTCTTGCCTGATGGCTTGCCTGAATCTCCCGAGAGACACACAGAGAGTACACAGAGAGTGAACGTTTGCCGGGAGCAGCCTAGGTAGCTGTGCTGGGGCAGGTGGCTTTGAACACACAGTAGAGCTGGTGTTCTTAGATCTCAGGTAAGGAGCAAAGGGAAAGCTAGCAATTTGCAGGGTACACCTGGGAATAGTGAAGGCTCTGAAAGTGTAGATTTATGATTTGTGTGTGTGTGTGTGTGTGTGTGTGTGTGTGTGTATGCCGGTGTCTGCACAATATTCTTTCCTGGAAAAGGTGTGGAATCTGTATCAATTCCTGATTTTTGTATATTTCACCTGACCCCCCCCCCATTTATATCTGAGGTGCTATCAACCTCATTTTACCAACAAGGGAATACAAACACCGATCATTAAGAAGCCCGTGCAAAGTTGTTAAGCTGACTGGTGATGAGGGTGCAATCTGAATTCAAGGTCTACTCCTCTGTTTTTGTTGTTGTTTTTTGAGACAGTGTTTCTCTGTGTAACAACCCTATCTGCCCTGAAACTACACCCTGCTGGATTTGCTCCTCTTACCCTCTGTGCTGATCAGTGGTCCCACATGCCCTTGGTACCTTGGTACCTTGGTACCTCTCCAGCTACATTCCCCCTAGTTTACACATTCTGTCTCCTCCCACTCAACTCCCCCAACTTTCCCCCACTTCTACCCCTAGTTTTTCAGCTAGAGTGGTCCAGCTCACTACCACAGGGCTGCCAGGGAGACCTGTGATCCCCAGATCACTTCCATTCCAAACTGCTTTGAGGCCCCTCCTATGAAGAGGCTTGGAGCCCAGGACAGACGTGGGCGTGTCCTAAGGGAGCTGCCTGCGGTTCCAGGCCGGGCGAAGCCTGACTTGGGGTGCGGGATTTAATTGTGGGCGTGACCAGGCCATGGGGCGGGTCCAGAGGGCTGGGTGTTGCAGGTGCCTCCTCCTCCGCCTCTTCGGATCCCTGGCCGCGCCAGGCACTGTGCGGGCAGCCGAGGGAGCGCCTTTGTGCCTGTCTGGAGTGAGGCTGCCACGGCCCCTTGTACGCCCTGGTCCATTGTCTTCCCGGCTGGTGCTGGCGACAGGGTCCCGCACGTGCCACCGCGGCGGCTTATCCCAGGCGCGCCGTGGGAGATGAAGCTCCCGAAGCCGTGGTGGGCGGGCGGCGGCCTCCTGAACCTCACGCTGCTGCTGAGCTTGGCTGGGCTCCGTGTGGACCTAGACCTCTGCGTGCCGCCACCGGCCGCCTCGTTTTACGAAGAGCTGCTCCCACTCTGTCCCACCCGCCCCGCCTCGGCTTCTAGCCCCTTCCCGGCCTCAGGAGGCTGGGGACACTCCCCCCAGCTGCTTGCCAAGGGCCGGCTGCTGCGCGAAGTGCGCGCGCTCGGCGTCCCCTTCGTTCCCCGCACCCGCGTGGACGCGTGGCTAGTGCACAGCGTGGCGACCGGGGACGCAGACGGGGCCCACGAGCTGCTCGCCACCGCCGCCTCGTCTGCCGTGGGAGACGGCGACCAGGAGGCACCCGCGGGCGGAGGGGATCGCCCAGAGGCTCACAACAGCCCTCTGGCTGCCGAGGAGGAGGACAAGGCGGCGGAACCGTCGGCGCAGGTGCGAGACACAGACGGACGCGGGAGCCAGGTAACCTAAAGGGATTCGAGCAAGTGGCTGGAAGGACTGACCCCGAGCCCCTATGGTCGCTACGACTAGGCGGGGCCACACCCGTGTTCTCCTTCTCACTCTAGGTAGTTGTAGGTTGCGGGACAAATCTGCCCCGCCTCTTTTTGAAGGAAGAAGGTGAGTGCTGAGATTTGATTTTGGGAAAAGTGGATGAAATCCATCTGCATGCTGAGAACACCCTTCTTGTGTTCGATGGCTGTGGAGGGTAGTTTGGTAAATGGGGAAGCGAGAGAGGATGGTGCTGTCTGGTCCTCGGCCTCTAATCAGTACCCCGTGTGCATTAAGTTGCCTTGATGGGGAACCTGTGCGGGACTAGAGGATCTGGAGGAGGTCCACACACCCAAGCAAAGGCACGGCCCCCGCCCTGAATTTAACCTTACTGTTGCCCGTTTATGATTGTGCTATTGTACTCCTGGAATAAGGAGCCACGGTGTTCAGTGCAGTTGGTACCTCTGTGACCTAATCATCCACCCCCCTCGTTTAAGAATCCTCCCTAATGGAAGGTGTGAAATCCCTTATTAACATTCACAAAACTCGTATTCTTTCCTGGGACACGCAAGTTCCCTTTGGTTGCGGACTCTCCCTACTCCAAGATCCGTGGACTGAAACTGGAAAGACCTCTGCGTCTAGAGACCTCACCCCGGACTTCCTTTTAGGACCAGAGCTTGACTTTACCGATGTGGATCCACAAGTGTTCATAGGACTTTGTTTCTGTGAAGAGCAGTCTTAGGCAAAGTGGGGATTGGGGCTAAACTGGTTTGTTTGCGGCTCTTCAGAATCACCCTGTTTGTGTAGGCAGTTGTCTGACGGGCTCCTCCGCCCTTTCTCAGAGAGGTCATTGCGTGAGGTGCTGGTGATTCACTGTTATGCTGATCTGATCCTTTCCTCCTCCTGGGGATGGGAACTAATGGGGTGGGGGTTGGTGCTAGTCTTGGTAGGCTTCTGTTGGGTTTAGAACAAACAGGAAGCCACTCCCTAGTCTACTCTACAGATCTGAACTCCAGGAAGGAGGGGGAGGGGTGTCACCTGAGGAGGGGTACCTGCTGCCCCTTACCACAGACTGCTGGGGTGATTTTGGAGGCAGCTCTGATGGCCTGGGAACCGAAACACAGGTTAAGAAACTCATGCAAGGTTACAAAACTGGCTGGTGATGGAGGGTGGCATCTGAATCAAGGTCTCTTACACTCTGTGTCAGCCAATGGTCCTTACAAGGAGGACCTGGAGGCCCTCTTTCTTACAGAGATAACTAAACCATTGTGGTCCTACCTCCTCCAATCTCCCATCAACCCCTCAACACTTGTCTTGGCATTCCTTTCCTGGCTGGGCTAGCATCTGCACCTGCTAGACAATGGTAGGTGTGGGGGGAGTAGGGGGGAGGGGGTTGTTCTGTTCAATTAGGCAGTGGTGAGCCACTGAGGACTTAAGATGCAGGAGCCAGTGCACTGATGTGGTGATTGATGCCTTTTGACATGTCCCATTTGTACTTAAGGAAAAGAAACCCAGGTCAGGAAACTTAGCTTAATTCATACATTAGTTAATGCACGAGTGGACTGAGAACCCGAGTCTGCTGTCTCCCAGACTGGTATATAAATGAAGTTCTGTGGGCTGTACTCCCTAAGAATGCATCTGGGATGGGATGAGTCAGACCCTGACTCAACCCGTCTCCAGGCCCCAAGACAATGGCTTTCAGGTGCTGGATTTGTTTGCCTGTTATCTGTTTGATCGGCTTTTTGTGGTGGTGGTGGTGATGATGGTTTTGTGATAGAGTGTCATGTATCCCAGGTTGCTCTTGAACTTGGTATATAGCCAAGGGTAACCTTGAACTCTTGAGGCATCCCTTCCCCTTACCTCTCTAGTACTGAGATGACAGGCATGAGCCAGCACTAGCTTTATTGAGTATTGTTGACCAGGCTGGCCTTAAACTCTTAGTCCTCTTGTGCCAGCCTCTCGAGTGCTGGGATTACAGGTGTGTCTCACCATGCCTGGTTTGGATAGGTTTTGTTTGTTTGTTTGTTTTTGTTTTTTTGTTGTTTTCAAAGCAGGTTCTGGGCTGGGATAGAGCTTGGTGGTTAAGAGCATTGGCTGTGCTTGCAGAGGACCCACATTTAGGACCTAGCACTCACTTGGTGGTTATCCACCATCTGTAACTCCAGTTTCAGAGGATCTGACGCCCTCTTCTGACCTCTGCAGGCACTGCAAGTACAGAGTACACAGAGACACATTCAGGCAAAACACCCAAACACATTAGGTAAAAATAAATAATTCTTTAAAAAAAAAAAACATAAAATACAATAGATAATCACACTTTACCAAAAGCCAAAAGAAATTGGGAGCTGGTGGGGAGGGGAGAGGGCGTCAGGAGAAAGAGAAGGGAAGAAGAGGACATGAAGGATCAGGAAGATTGAGTCAGGGGATGAATAGATGAGAGCAAGAAAAGAGATACCATAATAGAAGGAGGCATCATAGGTTTCAAGAGAAATCTGGCACCTGAGAAATGTCCAGAGACCTACAAGGATGACCCCAACTAGCAACCTAAGCAATAGTGGAGAGGCTACCTTAAATGCCCTTCACTGATAATGATATTGATATGCCATCTTAGAGCCTTCATCCAGTAGCTGATGGAAGCAGAAGCAGACACCCACAGCTAAACACTGAGCTGAACTCCTGGAATCCAGTTGCAGAGAGAGAGGAGTGATGCGCAAAGGGGTCAAGACCAGGCTGGAGAAACCCACAGAAACAGCTGACCTGAACAAGGGGGAGCCCATGCATCCCCAGACTGATAGCTGGGATCCAGATCCCCTGAACATGGGTGTTAGTTAGGAGGACTGGGCAGTCTATGGGGTCTCTGGTAGTTGATTTATCCCTAGTATACTAATGGACTTTGGGAGCCCGTCCCAAAAAAGGGATAGTCTCTCAGCTTAGGCACATGGGGGAGGGCCTAGGCCCTGCTCCAAATGATATGACAGAGTTTAAAGATCCCCCATGGAAGGCCTCGCCCTCCCTGGGGAGCAGAAAGGGGATGGGATAGGGGGTTGGTGGGGAGGAGGAGAGGGAGAGGGAACTGGGATTGACATGTAAAAAAAAAGCTTGTTTCTAATTTAATTTTTTTGAAAAAGAAGAAACTTAGAAATAAAAAAAAACATAAAATAAAAAGCAGGATGTGCACTCATAAAGAAGAGCATAACTCTGGGAAATATGGGCTCCAGAAATAATGCCAGCATTGCAATTACCTAGACCTTAGCACCTCCTCCCATGGGTTATGTGAATCACTCCATGCCCCTCCCAGTCTCTCTACAAAAGTGTGAGTGGGGGGGGGGGGGTTTGAGCCACCTAAGGGGAGGCTAGCACGAAGTGCCAACACGGCGCCTTGATTGCATTCCCTGCCTTCAAAATCTGCTGGTCCCCATTCACTGTTTCCCTTTGGACTTGTTTGTCTCTGTATCCAGCTTTGCTTATTAGGAAGTGAATGTGCAGGATCAGTAGGAATGTAGGTAATTGATAGAAAATTCCAGTGACATACATTTGAGTTGTAGAAGACTCTGGTTTTAGAGTATAATTTTTCTCAACTTCTATGTATATGCAAAAATGTTTTAGAATAGGGGATTTTCAAAGTATCAAAAAGCAAGAACTGCTTTGATTTCACTTTTTAGAGGGGCTAATAATTCTGAAAACAGACTGTGGGATTCCCCCGGAGCCGACAGCTTCTTTTTATAAACTTGGCCATTCACTTACAACTGATGAAGCCTATGCTCAGCAGGCGAAGTGTGGGCTTCTCTCGGGGCTGAGAGATGGCGCAGGGGTTAAGAGCACTGGCTGCCCTTCCAGAGGCCCTGGGTTCTGTTCCCAGCACCCACATGGTGGCTCACAACTGTCTGTTATCCAGTCCCAGGTGACTTCCTCTTCTTGTCTCTGGCACTCAGAGGGTGGCTATCAGCCATTTATAACGCCAGTTCCAAAGGAGCTGATGTCCTCTGCATGTACAGGGTGTGCAGACATACATGAAGGCAAAAACACGGACACTCGTAAAAGAAAATAATAATTAAAAAAAGTAGCTTTTGTGAAGTTGAATATATGTCAGTGTTTCAAAGAGCTGTTGAAAACTGAGTTGGTTTATGGTCATCTTGTGTCACCTGTCACAGCAATCCCTCTGCTGGGTGTGCAATCCTGTCAAGAACCCTGGCTTACATTCGGATGCTTCCCTTAGGTCATAGAATCACATATAGTCCAATTTAATCCGAAGAATGAAGGGGAGAAAGACCCATTTTGGATTGTTGAAGTAAATTTTATTTCCATTGCAAAGTCAATAGTATTTCCTAATGCCTAGGCAATTGGTCAGAGGCTAGAAACAAACTTCTCAAAGCCGTGGTGCGGCATAGTCTTCATTTATGGCAGTGTGACTTCCCTGTTGGGTTTTTCTTTTGTGATTAGTGGATGTTAAAAGGTCTGTTTTGCCTCCTTGAGTGGGAAAGAATGGCACAGGCTATTGTGTTAGAGCTCTAGGAGCCAGTACTCATCCTGGGTGCTCAAATAGAAATTTACTGGTGACAAGAAGTCCCAGGTGAGCTATCAGCAGGTTAATTCCTTCTAAGGACTGTTGGGAGGATTTACATTTTGGTGGTTTGCTGGAGTTGATGGCATTCTGTGGCTTCTGCTGCCAATGTCTGCCTCCCCTTCACATTCCCCCTTGGTACAGGAAGGATCCATCTGGCTCTCTTTTTACCTAACTATATTTACAATGATCAGATTTCCTAATATGGCTTCATTCTTAGGTCTTAGGTGTTAGGACTTATAGGAAATTTTAGAGTACACAGTTTAGCCTAAACAAATCACATCACCCTTCTGTCAACTATACAGCTAGCTCGCTTGTATTGCAGCTATTAAAAACTGAGTCACTGCCGAGAAGTGATGGTGCAGGACTTTAATCCCAGCATCAGGAGGCAGAGGCAGGAGGATCTCTGTGA